CTCTCCGACAAGGACAGGGTGTTATTTTTGCGGCGTAAGGTGGGCAAGTCATGGTCGGAAGGACTTTTGATCATATCCTGGGCAGTGAGAAATTCCCTGATTTTGTCCCGCATCTCAGAGACATTCCGACTCTCCTACAAAGACGAGGGGTTGAAATGGTAGCCCACGAGGCAGCAAAAAGACCTACGCGAAGCCACTCTGGATGCTTTGTACCGTAACCAAGGCACTGGAGACGCAGACAGCCGTATGTCTCGCAGTGAGGTGGTGTTTCGTCACATCTCTGGGGCTTAAAGGGTAAGCGAAGACTCTGGTGAAAAGCGGAAAGCGAAGCAGATAAATCTTCCAGTGTATTCTGCAAGTGTAATAATACATAATGGCGCGGAACTGCGCTTTCCGATTTAGGCGCGGCCTGATTCTGTGACTGGGGTGCTACGGTCATTAATGGCTGGTATATTTATGCGAGAGGTGCCGGGAGGACTGGGAAATGTGCTCGTTATATGTACATTTGGAAAAGTGGAAGGCTGTTATTTCCACGCCGTCACTTAGGGTGCCCTGAGCTCTAATCTACGTTCCCAGAATTAACAGCCTATCTCCTCGTGGTTGGCCCATGTTTTTAACTTCCATCTGTACGGCCTCTTCAGTGCCACGTTACATCCATTTTGCCTAATTACACTTCGGGCGGTGCGACACATTTTAGATGTCTACTTCAATGTGTACGGCGCCACACTAGACACATTCCATATCAATTTGCTCTTTTACAGCCGTTCTCGAAACTGATAAATGGTTATTTGGGCATTTCCCAAAATGGACACTTCAGCCTTCTTCAGAGAGAAAAAGAGCAAGTGCACGTGCTCGAGATTGCGGATTTAAATGAACTGAATTGGCGATCTCCACATCGTTTTGGGCGCGTAGATAGTCAGACAAGTAGTTCGGATCAATCAAATCAGTCCGATCAATCAGACACGACTTTACTTGCCGAGTGTTGACTTCAAAATGCTCCTTCAAGTCATCGCAGAAGAGCTCACCAGAAAGGATTTTGGGAGGCCACAATTGTCGCTGGGAGTTCAAACCTCCTTTTGGGAACTGGGGGGGAAAATGTGTCTATGTCATTAAGGCTCACTACATCGCCAAAGTGCCGGCACGTCGCCTCTACCGTACTATTACGACCATTTGTTCACGCCATGTCACCCGTCACCTCAAAAGTTCACTGGGTTCGGTCTTCAAAATCCGACGGACCATGTCACCGACCGGCAAAAGTTCATTCGCGCCAATCATCCCGCTTTCATTTTGCGTTCATCTCCGTCTCAAGATTTTACCCCCTATGTGAGCTAAATGAACTACCAAGCATGGTGTCTGCTAGAGGTGGAGATTTTTGACTGCATAATGAGCAAATTATCAACTTACTGAATGCATCCCTGAACAGATATTAACCAAGGATGCCGTCTGCTGCGCTGGCCCTGTGGCTTTGTAGCGTGTTTGGCGTGGAGGGAGCTGGCTGTCTGGAGACTTTTTCAAGCGTGTCCTAGTGGGATTGTAGTAACTCGGGACAAAATATGTCTGGAACTTTCTTCGCTTACCTGTTAAATTGTGTGCTTCATACCATACGCGAAGAGGGACTGAACAGCTCTGAAACCGGGCGACTCCGAGAGTATTTTGCTGGGGGCTTAAAAATATATATAAGTACACAGAGGAAATAGTTTCTTTTTACCCTCGCACCGATGGACGTACACCAAATCTTCACCAGAGACAAGTGGATTGGCCAAGGCAGGGCATGGGCGACCGCATCTCCCGGACTCAAAAAAATTGCCGCGGAATTCTTCTTGATTCCGCAGGTTCACGAACACGAACTCCTTCCCTCACTGTTCCCCCCTATCACAAAATTGCTGGAATTCCGGCTGCCCCTTCAAAATGTTACGGTCACGGTGAGACGGCCCGAGAAAAACTAGGGTCAATATCTTGCATTTTTGCGACTTTTTGCGACTATTTACCTGGTCCAAGGAGCCTACAAAAGCATCCCAGCTTCTGCATAACAGAGCTAGGAACCCTGTTTGGTGGTACAAAGGAGAGTCAGAGTGAGCTTCGAGCTGCTGACTGTAGTATTACAAGCTACACAAGTTAAACACTCAGTGTTAGCTGGATAAACACAATAAGAAGATATAAACCAAGGCCCAGAGGTTCCGAGGAGGTAGAGTCTGTACTAAAGGTACCAAAGACTGCACAGGAGAGGTCCAAGGAGTGAACTAGTCTTGTCTAGGGACTCGTTTGTTGACAGATAGATGCGCCGAGGATTGTCACGGCTTCTATTCTGTATGGAGACATAGTACAAATTGGACTACAAGGTCCGAGGAGGACTCTCTAGTGTATAAGGCAGTTCTCAGTGGACTCAGAAGGTCCTTGGGGCTAGACTAATATGATGGGGTTGCTCACAGAGCCAAATGAAAAAGTGTATGCTATGGGGATTGAACCCACGCAGAGCAGAATGACACGTGAAAGTCCACGGAAGATTCCGAGGAACATAACAGAGACAAGCAAACGCCGATCACGATTGATCGGGGCCGTTTTAGGACATGCCGGTGCATAGGTGTTGACGCGGCATGGTGGCCTGCTAGAGAACGGACATATGAGAGCGGAATTACCTGAGAGGACTGGATTATCAACCAGGCCAGCAGGTTTCGTCGACCTCGGATGTGGACGGCATTTGAAACTGACATCATTATACCCAAATAAGGGTTCCTGGAGGTCATACAAGCTGACTTTCCCGGCAATCCATCATGAAGAACACCTTGGCCGTTGTTTCCTTGGCGAACAATGACTCAGATATCGGACTATTTATCCTATCAGTTTTACATCATCAGTTTTTTTCAAGTAGTATAAAAGGAGTAGAAAAAACCCCACAATGCCCCAGCTCATTGCATCCCCACGGATTCAGCCTCACAGCTAATCTCTGTTTTGGTGTTGGTGTGTTTGGGTCAGTCTCGTGGAGATATAAAACATATAGTCTCTGTTTGTGATTGTTCTGTAACTCAATATATAAAAGAAGTTGGTTCTAGAAAGCTTGAGTGCGAGAAATAAGGAATTAAGTTTCGAGTTGTTCGTCCACAGAGGCAGGCGTTCAAGTATAAAATCCAAGTGTTAAACATTGGCCCTAGTGTTTGGTGTTGGAAGTGCTATTAGCCTTTGGACAATTGGTTCATCTGTCTATTAGACTTAAACAATACATCTGTCTTTGGCATCGGAAGGTGGTTAGGTTTAGGTGTTTGACGAAAGGTGCTTTCATTGCTAGTGCTCTGCGGAGTAGCTGAGCGAGTTTGTGATCATCCATCTGCCCTACAGTAACAATCTGAGCACCAGGCGTAACAAAGTTGTGTCATTTCTGAGGCTAGTGTGCGGTCTATAAAACCTCCAATCTATACCTATAAAAACCCAAAAACCCTAGTTCACTAGGTCCTCGGAGACGTATTTCAGTCAGTTTTGACTACTGAGGTTCATATAAGACTCTATTGAGGCTTCCGCAGAGAGATTGCTCAGCGCTAAGAAAGTGAAAGTTCCATTCCAGCTGTCTGCATACTACGGACCAGACCCAAATTCAACCGAGGAGCACATTTTAGTTGAGGGTAGTGTGTGTGTGTGTGTGTGTGTGTGTGTGTGTGATTTGTTGAGTGTGTGTTTGCACGAATTTAGCAGGTTTCCTAGGCCTACCTCAAGCGCACCGTTTCAACGGCCCCCAGCCTGCACAATATTTCAGTACCGTTGCTCGAGATAGGGTAGTGTGTGTGTGTGTGATTTGTTGAGTGTATGTTTTGCACGCATTTAGCAGGTTTCCTAGGCCTACCTCAAGCGCACCGTTTCAACGGCCCCCCAGCCTGCACAATATTTCAGTACTGTTGCTCGAGATATCGACGACGCAGCTTCGATGCTTCGCGTCCAGCATCTTGCCATTCCAGACTGCGCCGATAATTTCGCCGTCAGTGATGACGGTGGAATTACCCGATCGGGAAATGCAGAGGCGTCTGATGCCGAGGAGGAGCATGTCGTTCTTGGATATGGTCAGCGAAAAAAAAATCGTCTTGCGTCGTTATCAGGGCCCAATTTGGGAGGAGCACTAGCCGCATTTTATACAATTTCCCCCTGTTTTTTTTGTCAAAATTAGCATAGCTCAAAAATCGGTTTTCTGCCCTCTGACGGCTTCAAAAAATAAGGTCTTCATAACTCAAAAGTCACCGTCACAGGGGCAAAATTCATTCATTTCACAGACCTCCGTCACCTGTCACCTGAATAAATGGTCGTAATAGTACAGTACCCGGAACGATCAGCTTGGAATCAGGATTTGAGCAAGTGGACACAACCCTTTTTCCAACTGGGAGCTGGCTAGCACGCACCAGCCTCAATTTCAGGCATCCACCAGCTGGGCAGCTAGGTAGGTCCCACACATTTTGACACCTTATAACCATACTGCCGATAATATTATAAAGTCTCTTCCCAAAGCTCTTCTGCATTCACTTTTATCTATGCTTGAATTCAACCAAATTTCTTCTGCAGCTTGGTCCGGTAAACAAAGGGTATCTCAGGGTTCATTTGACCGAGGTTGCATGAACTGCTTGATGATTCACATGCCAAACTGTGATGGATACCAGTCATCGTTACAACTCAACGATTGTGCGTCTCCTTTCAACTATCTATTTCATACTCCCATTTTATTTCCTTCACTTGTTACGATGTTCACAATTCCCTCCACTACTTATTTCAACTCCCCTCGTAATGAAATTGAAGGAGCTCAACTTAAGTTAATGCCGGTCTGAACCACAATGGAACTCAAGTTCCACTGAACTTAAGTTCTACCCTACATGCAGTTGGCCGGTAAATGTGAGGACCACACCCCCCTGGAACTCAAGTCCTGTATCACTTGAGTCCTGCAAGACTTGAGTCCCCAAGCACTTAAGTTCTGTCCACACACTTAAGTCCGGTCCAAACACTTAAGTCCTGTCCAAACAGGAAAACAAATCCACCCACGGGATTCGAACTCCAGACCTCCTGACTTTACACCAAGTTGGAAGGTGAGGGTGTTAACCACTACACCAGGAAGGAGACTGTGCCTGGAACACACAGATACAATATTAGCCTTATAATGGCCTAAACTTTCTCCACTTTCTTTATTTTGCCTCTTCAGGTCCTGTGGCCAAACCACTATCCATAGATGATTCAGAGATTGATCTGTTTCAATAAATCGGTCTATATAAAAAAAAACATGATGAAAGATGACTGGAAATGACAAGTGAGTCAATACATATGCAGTACTTACCATGGCATTACCATGGTAGAAAGAGAGCATTTAAGAGTTATAATGGCAGTCTTATTGAGGACTTCAGACATGGCCCTCCTAGTGTAGTGGTTAGTCCCCTCATGCCTTATTCTCATGGAACTCGGAGGGTCAGCAGTTCAAATCTCATAGGTGGATTTTGTTTTTGTGTTTTATATAATTCTTGTGCAATTACTTGAGTTCTCTATCACTTAAGTCCTCTGGTGGTCTGGACCGCCCAGAACTTAAGATGAGCTAATAAAGTATCTGCCTCGTATCGCTAATACCACCATTGCTCTCCTCGTTCCAATTTGCCGTTCTCATAGTAACCTACATGTATTTAAACCGCGGGTACTGGTTCACAATACATCTTTCACCCTTCACAACCTCTTGCTGCCTCTGCGCCCTCTGCGACTGCTTAACAGCCTCGCTTTCAGTCTCATCAGGTACAAGTAATAGTCTTGCACTTACTTCTAACCTAGGACATCTCGTCTATTGAATACTCGACAACCTGTGGCCCGGTTATTCAATAGGCTTGTGCATAGAGAAAGTACACGGGGATCTTGAACTGTAGATAGATCAGACCTTGATCCATAACACGAACTGTCAGGGGAACCCCCGTCCCGACCCCCATCCAACGCCCTTCCGACCCCTCCGATCCTTCCGGTCGCTCTCCCGGTCACCGGTCTACCGGGACCGGTACCGGAAACCGGCACGTGACCCGATGGCACCTTGCGTGTGATCAAGCCCGGGACATCTGCCGATCACTCCGGTCACATGGTCTTAGCTAGTAGCTTACTTATACCCACGGCTGACGTGGGAATGCTCAGAGTTTCTTCTCTTTGGATCCCCCACGTCAGGTATGCTTCTCTGTATATTTAGCTACTGTCAATTAACCTTTGGATCCCCCACGTCAGTCCCTGAGTACCTCGGGCCTTCGTGGTTGCCCTTACACGAACATTCATTTCGAAGAGTTCCATTTTATTCGTAAATATCAATGCCTGCATAACACAAAATGTCGATTGATGAAGAAGGGTCTGCGGTAGGTGACTTTTCGGCTAGTAGGGCTCTGAAGGCAGTGAAGACCTCAAGCGCCAAGCCTCGATCTCCAAGGCTTCCAGCTACAAGACCTCAAGTACTATCCCCCCCTTAGATCTCGGACACCTAAGGAAAATTGATACATATCATTTTATACAATGATCCCGGGCCCAAGCCGAGTAGGTAGATCGTCAGGAATTTGTCTTTTACCCCGGTCTCATGTTTTACTTCATGAGAAACGAGTGAGAATTGGGTAAACGGCATCGTTTTTTCGGTAGTGGTCAGGTGTCCGAGTTCTAGGTAACATGTCAAATCCAGATTGCCGGCCTCGTATATGACCACCTTGTGGTCATATCGCCTCCAATTCTCATCTGGTAGAACATCCCAGCAAGAAATATAGTATACATGAACAAGGAGATCAAGGCAACCCAAAGGCGGTCGACAGGTAGCATGAATTTCTTGCTATCACATCTGGCAATTGAGATATCAATTTGGTGGGCATGGCTTCGTCTTTTGTAATTTGGCTAGCTGAGCGGGGGTCTGTGTAGCCCAAGTGTAGTCGACTGCGCTTGGACTATGCAGACCTATGCAGACCTACACAGACCCCCGATCAGCTGGGCAGACTCAGCCTAGGTGGCAGCGGAACGCAGTGCTTGGAGCTCCTGCAACATGGGATCTCTCAAATATGCTTGTACCCCAATTATGCGGCCACAATAAAAGAGACATAAGAGTCGGGATGGTGTTTCTATTGGTCCCGCTTTCTAGCTCCCTTCAACTATTCATGGAGACTGTTTTCACCATAGGCGACCCGGAAGCTGCCACCGACGAGCTGCTCGCGGCAATTACCGCTGAAAGCATCGCCGAAATCGCCGAGCTGCACAGCGAAATCGGCATACAAATCAGGATACCGCGGAACGCAATCTCACACGGGACCAAAATAGTGGCACCCGCAGAGTTGCACGGAGTCTTCTAACTGATGTGGACAGGGAACGGATCCGCACAGCCGACACCGCGGCCCATACGGCAGTTTGTAGCCTGGAGTTCAGGCTTCCACCAGTCGCTGGTGGGATTAAGTCTCCTGCCTCAATTCCTTGCAGATTTCAAAACCGCTCGGATTGCGTTGGAATAGGGTTTGCAAAAATTGCGGCATAAGGGTGGGTAAGGGTCATCGATTCACTACTCTGGATTGAAAGCGCAAATTTCTAACTGCTAACTGCCACCCTCTCTCAGAATTTCAACCAGATATTCTGCCTCACCACTTTGGGTGTCTATGACGGTGTGGCGGATCCAGAGTTTCTAAACTCTTTGGAAGAGCCGGGGATCCCGCCAGATGAATTAAATCTCAAAATTGGGGCCATATGCAGGCTCACCCGGATAGATTGCGAGACCTTATGAAGAATACTCGGGTAATTTTCTGCAGCTTACTACGATACACCGTTGAGATCGAGACCATCTCGGCGGTTGTAGCCGGTAAAATGGTTGACCTCAGTAAGTCAATTACTTCCAACTCTCCAACACACTGCTAAATGATGTACCAGATCTGGCTGCACCTACCACATATTGATTTCCATTTTTCACCTCAGGGGTTCAATTTTACAGTCCATCGAAAGCAGATCCCCTTGCTCTTTGCTATGCCACTACCTTCAATGGCTGTCAGGACTTGACGGTTCAGAGACTTGGGTTCGATCTCAGACGGTCAGTTTTCTCATACAGACATTTATACTCTGCGATGAACTGCGTTCCTGAGGCAGAAAATGTTTTAATCCTGAAGGACGCAGGCAATTTATCCACATGCTAACATTGGTTGGAACGAGCTTTTATTGTAATTTCATGCTTTGAAAACCAACTAACAATGTACATGTTTTATGTTTGTGGGAGGAATGCCAACCTGTGCAACCACTCATAGATTAAATTTCACCCAAAATGCTTCGGAATTACGTGTTTAACCAAGGGTGGGACGACCCGCGGAGCGGGTCGTCGACCGCTTGTGTCATATAAATTTGGTCAACCACAAAATTTAAAGATTGAATCGTTCAAAACCTATTGTTGATTGGTGAAACGAGTTGGCCTGCTTTTCCCTCCACTGATATGCCCACGTTCTTCAATTATTCCTCGCGCACAGGCTGAACTAATTCGATGTGTCATGGTGTTCGACTGACCGCGTCGGACTCGGAGTATTTCTATCTCCGAGATCAAATTGGCATAGGAATTCCGAGTCTCCGAGATCGTTTGCCACGTCGACTCTTCAGCTCTTTGCTTTTGCCTTCCATGAGCTCCTCCTCGCCCTCGCCTGCTACCTTCTGCGGTATTCCTGTCTCTGCCGTGCTTGAGGCCAGCATCGTAAGTTCTTCTGCTTCGCTGTAACTCCCGGCTTCCAACGCGGAACTTATACTCATCTGGACCCCTGGCGCTTCCTTGCAACGACGGCGTCATCTCTATGGGCATCAATGTCCATGTAGCTGCATTATTGCCTTCGGACCTTGTGCTTGGCTTGGATTGGTTTTAGTTCGTCTGCGACTCCGCCCCTGGTATTCTTGTCCACTTGAGTCCTGGTCCACTTGAGTTCTGGTCCATTAGAGAGTTTGCGTCGCCTTCCTCCAGCAATTGGTACAGAACCAGATTTATCGTCCATAGGTGTGTCATTACTCTTCCACACCCTTTATCATGGACTAATCATTTTTGCTTTCTCAGGATCTTCGTCTGTTACGCCGGGGTTCCGAGGAGGCATCGGTTGCATCGGTGTGGACACTTCGCTCTTCTCATCAGCGTCACTGGCTGAATCTGATGTAGTAACAACCCCTTCGTCTACAACTTGTACGCGGGGATGCTTCACAAAGTTACTTTGTGAAAGTAACTTTCCCTGCTAGAACTTACTTTACTTTACTTATGGCAGGGGAAGTTACTTTCACAAGTAAAGTAAAGCAAAAGTACAAGTAAAGTACAAGAAAGTAACTCGAAGTAACTTCACGTAACTTTCGCTTTACGTTAACTTGTGGTAACTTGACACGAACTTGGCCTGTTTCCCCCAGTGTTTAGGTAGAAACTGTCAGTCAGATACCTATATCTGTGTGGAAAATGAGTTTCCTGACCGCCAGGCCCCATAGCAGGTCTTCTAGAGCCATTCTAGCCCTTGACAGCGCGAAAGTAACTTGCCATCTGATGGCATAAGTTACTTTCGCTGATCTCATTGATCTAACTTGGGTGGGCCAAGTTAACTGTCAAGTGAGAGGATTTCCATACAGAAAATAGTTGGGACTGGCCGAAGGAATGCGGTGGGTTAATACAAATGGTTAGAGAGATCATGATGACAATTGACAACGAACCAACCTGAACAAATTCGGTCCGAGACTAAGGGCTGGCTTCCCACGGTTGAACAATGTTTTTTCGACATCACGAACTGTCTGGTGTCATCCGGTATGAGTGCCGACTATCGCACTCGATATCCATCTCACTGTTGAGCTTGATTCACGCAGTTCACTGGGGAGTTCAGCTTCTTGACTTGACCTTGGAACATCGGAATTCCTCGGCCGTCGTGGCCCTCCCCAATACAGCCTATTTATTCCTCGTGTCCAGGGTAACCCAATTTGTCTGGGTCTGAATGAAACCCTGTCAATTGTGGGAAGTAACCTCCTGCAAATCTATGTGATTTCTGCAAAGGGTTGCCGTATTCATATCTGAACTCAGCTCCAGTTCAGAAACACTGGTGAGTCATATGTAGTATCTATCCTGTTTCAGACGCACCTTTCAAGGA